CGCCTCATCGAAGCTGGAGCAGATGTCGAACTCCAGGACCAGACGCGCTATCGCCAGGGGGCCTTGGAGTCTCCGAAGGGGGTGGGATGCATATCCATCAGCCTTCCCGCCTTGGCCATTTAGGAAAAGGGTTGCAGCAGCAGGTTTCACCCACAACCAGTAGAATCGCGAGAAACAACCTGTTTGTGAATGCGAAAGTTTTTTGTTTGCTTTTGTTTGTAGCCAAGTCAGGTCATGACCGGTATTATCACCAAGTATAGAAGATTTGAAACAAGACCCGACAGTTCTCGACCTCTTTTTGACCACTCAAATGTCTCTCTCCGCGCGCGTCCCGAGGCCGAAGACCTCTCCACTATGCAGCCGAAAATGGCCACGTGGAGGTCCTCGAGCGGCTCTTGGCCGCGAGGGCCACGGTGGAAGCAGAGGATAGGGACGGCCGGGGAGCCCCGGAGCTCGGGACGCGGCCCGAAGGCTGCGGAGACTGCGCCGACTGGATCCAAAGGGATTCACTCCGAGTCACGAGGGTCGGGTGAACCATTTCATGGTGCAAGCTGGGTGATTTATATCGTCACCAGAAAGAACAAGTCTCCATGATAATTGAACCGAAAGAGAGAAAAGAACTGACTGGTATAGTACTTGGGTCTCACGAATTTTGAAGGTGTGCTGGCACTGGTAGTACTTGGATCTTTGTGGCATCCAAACTCCAGAGCAGAGGCTTTGTGTCTTTGACCGCTTCTCATCAACCTGAAACCATGAGATGTGGGGAAAGGTCGTCCGCTTTGACGTGCCCCAAAAAGCCACATGGATCAACGGGATTCAAGAGATGAAGTGTTTTGGGGGATCTGCTTAGGAAGAAGGATGCTTTCAGCATTGGCAGACAGGGAGAAGAATACTGCCGTCAAAGACTGGGTGATTCGCAGAAAGAATAGCACGAACAAGACAAACTTCCAAAGGCCATACGTTTGAAAGCCGTCTATAGGCTGCCCACAACAACCAGAATCATGAGAAACAATGCAGCGCATCCCTGTCTTTCAATGCAAAAGTTACCCCACACGCAAGGTCACTGCTCATCCAACACCTGGCCCCGCAGCAACAGCAAAAAGAAGTCAGCATTAGCTGTGCTAGCGCGCTGATCTTTTTTTTTGTACCGAAGTAGGGTCTTCACTGGTATTTTCACCCAGAATTCTCTAAGAGAAGATGGGACAAAGACCCGGCAGTTCTCGACCTCTTTTTGACCACTCAAATGCCTCTCTCCGCGCGCGTCCCAAGGCTACAGACCTCTCCACCTTGCGGCCTCAAAGGGCCGCGTGGAGGTCCTCGAGCGGCTCTTGGCCGCGAGGGCCACGGTGGAAGCAGAGGATAGGGACGGCCGGGGAGCCCCGGAGCTCGGGACGCGGCCCGAAGGCTGCGGAGACTGCGCCGACTGGATCCAAAGGGAGTCACTCCGAGTCACGAGGGTCGGGTGAAACATGTCATGGTGCAGGCTGGGTCATTTATATCGTCGGAAAGAACAAGTCTCCAAGATATTTAAACCGAAAGAGAGAAAAGAACTGGACATGGCATAGTACTTGGGTCTCATTATTCTTGAAAGTGTACGGTGTACTGGCAGTACTTGGATCTTTGTGGCATCCAAACTCCAGATGCTGCGCAGCAGAGGCTTTGTGTCTCTGACCGCTTTTCATCAACCTGAAATCATGAGATGTGGGGAAAGAGTCCTCAAGAAGTCTGAATAGTGCAAGAAAAGATTAGATACGCGGAGGGACAGTACAAGAAACATTCCGACGAATCAGCTGAAAGACTATAGGCGCCATGGGTTTCTGGTTTTGTTTGTTCAATTCTTCCTAGAAAGAGCACCCCTTACACCTCCACTGCAGATAGGATGATTTGCAGCTTCAGAAAATATTATAGTCATTGTGCTAGCGGTGTTCATTTTTGTTTGTACCAAAGTATAGGGTCTTCACTGATATGTTCACCAGGAGCGCCAAGAGAAGATGGGACAAAGACCCGGCAGTTCTCGACCTTGTCTTGACCACTCAAATGCCTCTCTCCGCGCGCGTCCCGAGGCCAAAGACCTCTCCACCTTGCGGCCTCAAAGGGCCACGTGGAGGTCCTCGAGCGGCTCTTGGCCGCGAAAGCCACGGTGGATGCAGAGGATAAGTACGGCCGGGGAGCCCTGGAGCTCGGGACGTGGCCCGAAGGCTGCGGAGTCTGCGCCGACTGGATCCAAAGGGACTCATTCCGAGTCACGAGGGTCGGGTGAAACATTTCATGGTGCAGGCTGGGCCATTTATATCATCGCCAGAAGAACGAGTCTCCAAATTTTCCAAGATATTTAAACCGAAAGAGAGAAAAGAACTGGACATGGCATAGTACTTGGGCCTCACAAATTTTGAAAGTGTACTGGCACTGGCAGTATACTTGGATCTTTGTGGCATCCAAACTCCAGATGGTGCGCAGAAGAGGCGTTGTGTCTTTGACCGCTTTTGCATATTGCATAAACCATGAGATGTGAGGAAAGGTCGTCCGCTTTGACCTGCCCCGAAAAGCCACATGGATCAACGGGATTGAAGAGATGAAGTGTTTTGGGGGATCTGTTTAGGGAGAAGGATGCTTTCAGCATTGGCAGAAGAATACTAGCGTCAATGATTGGGTGATTCGCAGAAAAAATAGCACGAACAAGACAAACTTCAAAGGCCATATGTTTGAAAGCCGTCCAATGGCAGCCCACAACAACCAGAATCATAAGAAACAATGCAGGGCATCCCTGTCTGTGTTGAATGCGAAAAATACCCCCCACACGCAAGTTCACAGCTCCAACACCTGGCCCCGCAGCAACAGCAAAAAGAAGTCAGCATTAGCTGTGCTAGCGCGCTGATCATTTTTGTTTGTACCGAAGTATAGGGTCTTCACTGGTATTTGCACCAAGGATTCTCCAAGAGAAGATGGGACAAAGACCCGACAGTTCTCGACCTCTTTTTGACCACTCAAATGCTTCTCTCCTCGCGCGCGTCCCGAGGCCACAGACCTCTCCACTTTGCGGCCCACTGGGGCCAGGTGGAGGTCCTCGAGCGGCTCTTGGCCGCGAGGGCCACGGTGGAAGCAGAGAATAAGAACGGCCGGGGAGCCCCGGAGCTCGGGACGCGGCCCGAAGGCTGCGGAGACTGCGCCGACTGGATCCAAAGGGACTCATTCCGAGTCACGAGGGTTGGGTGAAACATTTCATGGTGCAGGCTGGGTCATTTATATCGTCGGAAAGAACAAGTCTCCAAGATATTTGAACCGAATGAGAGAAAAGAATTGACTAGTATAGTACTTGGGTCCCACAAATTTTGAAAGTGTGCTGGCACCTTGGTAGTTCTTGGATCTTTGTGGCAGCGCAATAGCAGAGGCTTTGTGTCGGTGACCGCTTTTCATCAACGTCTGCTTTGACCTGCCCCGAAAAGCCACATGGATCAACGGGATTGAAGAGATGAAGTGTTTTGGGGGATCTGTTTAGGGAGAAGGATGCTTTCAGCATTGGCAGACAGGGAGAAGAATACTAGCGTCAATGATTGGGCGATTGGCAGAAAAAATAGCACGAACAAGACAAACGTCAAAAGGTCATACGTTTGAAAGCCGTCCAATGGCAGCCCACAACAACCAGACTCATAAGAAACAATGCAGGGCATCCCTGTCTGTGTTGAATGCGAAAATTGCC